ATATATATATATATATATATCACCATCATAGTGAGAATGAAGTGATCTCTCACTGTAGTTTTAATTTGCATTTCCCTAATGACTAATGATTGTGTATTTTTTCATGTGCTTATTGTACATTTGTATATCTTCTTTCAAGAAATGTCTATTCAAATACTGTGTACATTTTTTAACTGGGTAATTTTTCTTTTTATTCTTGAGTTGTAATAGTTCTTCTAAAATTCTGGATACTAGACCCATATCAAATGTATTATTTGCAGATACATTCTCCCATTTCCTGGGTTGTTTCATTTTTTTAACACTGCCCTCTGAAGCACAAAAGTTTTTAATTTTGATGAAGTCAAATATATCTATTTTTTCTTTGGCTCCTTGTGCTCTTGGTGGCAAATCTAAGAAATCATTGCCAAATCCAAGGCTACAGAGATTTACACCTATGTTCTCTTCTAAGAGTTTTATAGTTTTAGCTCCTACATTTAGGTCTTTGGTCCACTGAGTTAATTTGTGTATATGGTGTGAGGTAGAGGTTCAACTTCATTCTTTTGCATGCTAAAAAAAAGCTATTCTTTCCCCCATTGAGTTGTCTTGACATAAAACTTTTAAATCTATTTTAAAGGAAGGTTGGACAATATACTTCTGTAGTGATACCACCTTGGAAACCCAAGGAGGGGTTGCTATGAGTCAGGTTTGACTCCACGGCATATAACAACAACAACAATAGCAGTGGTTATACAACTATGTTTTTGTCAAAATTTCATAGAATTATACACTTAGAAGGGTGAATTTTATTGAATGTAAATCATAACTCAACAAATATAACTATCAAAAAAGTTACTCTAAAGAAGCATTCACATATAGCATAAGGGGCTATATAAAAGATACAAATACAGTCACCCTTCATTACCCACATGACCTCTCCAAAAACCCACCAAGCCCATTGCTATCTAATTGATTCTGACTCACAGCAACCACATAGGACAGAGTAGAGCTGCCCAGAGGGTTTCCAAGGCTGTAAGTTTTTAAGGAAGTAGATTGCCATATCTTTCAGCCATGGAGCTGCTGGTGGATTCAAAACACAGGCTTTTCACTTAGCAGCTAAGCACTTAACGACTGCACAACCAGGGCTCCTTTAGAATGCCTCCAGTATACCATAATCTGTGATGCTGAAGTCCCTTATATAAAATGGCTTAGTATTTGCATATAACCTGTACATATCTTCCTATATATTTTAAATCATCTCTAGATTATTTACAATACCTAATACAATGTAAATGCTATGTAAATAGCACTTTAAGCTCCCTCTTAGTCTTTGAGGAATTTCTTTGACAATTTAATTGCTTTATTTTTCCAAAAAATATTTTTGACCTGCCATTGACTGAATCTGTGGCTGTGGAACCTGCGGATACAGAGGGCCAACCGCACTTCACAAGGAATGCGATACAGTTTGAAATAAAGACAACGTAGAGATTTTCAACAAGGGAAAAATGCTAAATGAAATGTAATATAGTTGGAAGACTGAATACTATACAACAATTCATGGAAATAAGCTACATCTACATGTTCAAATGGGAGCTCTGGTAGCATAGTACCTAAGGCACTTGACTGCTAACCAGAAGGCTGGCAGTTCAAACCCACCAGCCACTCCTCGGAAGGAAGATGGAGCAATCTACTTCCATCATGATATTGCCTCAGAAACCCAAGGAGAAGTCGCTATGAGTCAGGTGCAACACGACGGCACATAACAACAACAACATGTTCAAATGAGTAAAGCTCAGAATTACTTTATTAAGTAGAAAAGTGCAGAATGATTTACATGGCATGAAACCATGCACATAAAAATAATACACAAAATTATGTATCACAGGCTCTGTGTTTTTCAAAGGTCTGAAAAAATACTTGGCAAACTGGTAGTGCTCGTCGCCTCTGGAGAGGAGGGCAAGGAGACACCTATATTGGGAGGAGTGGTCAGAGAGAAGTTAAGCTGCCATTTTTTTCCCAAAGGGATATATATTCATTAATTACTTGTGTGATTAAAAATTAATAATATGGAATGTGTATAACAAAGTACACCTGAGTTTACACTCCTTACAGGACACCGAGCTTCTTTTAAGTGTGAAGGAAAAATCTGGAAACTGATCATGATAGTGGCTGAACATGATAAACATAGCTACTGTCACTGAATTGTACCTATGAAGAATGTTGAAATAGCAAACAATTTGTAGTGCCTAAGGCATTGGTAGCATAGTGGCTAAGACATTTGCCTGCTAACCAGACAGCTGGCGGTTTCAAACCCACCAGCCACTCCTCAGAAGGAAGGTTGGGCAATCCTACTTCCGTAGTGATACTGCCTCAGAAACCCAAGGAGGGGTTGCTATGAGTCGGGTTTGACTCGACAGCACATAACAACAACAAGGCATCTGACTGCTAACCAGAAGCCTGGCAGTTCAAACCCACCAGCCACTCCTCAGAAGGAAGGTTGGGCAATCTACTTCTGAAGTGATACCACCTCGGAAACCCAAAGAGGGGTCGCTATGAGTTGGATCTGACTCAATGGGATTGAGTTTGCTTTTGGATATTTACCACAATAAAAGAAAATACATAAATAACATAAAAATTTAAAAAGTATCCCAGAGTTAAAACAGATGTCATGAGCACAGAATCATAGCTTTATAACTTAAGCACTCATATGTGATGTGCATTCCCAACCCACACACACACACACACACACATACACACACACAGGTGATCTTACCAATTTGGATTTTCCACACTTTCCCGAAAGACAGACTCTTCCTTCATGGATGCATACTGTGTCCACGTAAGGCAGTGACTCCGTATAGCCATGCTTCTTTCCTGAGGATTGAGCCACGATTCCTCTTCTAACTGGATACTTGGTATCTTTAAAATGCTCACCTGTCCAACAAAGGGAGGACAGCTTTCTCAATTTCCGAAGAGAAGGCTCCATCAAGGAGTGCATCCAGATTTGCTTGCAGGCGTGGATAATTAAGAGGACAAGTGATCCTGATATACGGATGGCAGCTTACCAATGACTGCAAAGCCCTTGATCATCAAACATACCGTGACCTTCCTAAATGCTGGTAAGGACATGCAAATGGCCCAGGATTTATGCAGGCTGTAGAGTCCCTGGCCTGATTTCCCTAACTGCTAAACACTAAGTAAATTATCTGCCTCCTTCGTGTCTCCTCTAGAGCTGGTTATGGCCTTCTTAAATTGATGGATTCTAATCGAGCCCACTTATGGGCAGTCACATGCAGGACATTATCAGGTAAAATACTTGCTTCATTTTAAACTCTGCCCAATACATAGAAATGTATGTTTTTCTAGATGGAGGAGACATGGAAAACTAGAAAGGCAGAATTGTACAAGTCAGAGGTATCATTAAATTATTTAAGAAGTGAGATACAAGACAAAGTTGAATGCCTTTTTAAATAATAGATTCAAAGTGTGTATACAGGGTAAAGGCAGGGTACACACTCTGTGGAAAAAGCCAAGAATAAATAATTTGCTGCATATAGTACAGAGCATTTTACCCTCTAAAAAATAAAAGAAAGTTCATTTTCACTGTCATATCAGCTTTTTAATCCACAAGAAGGAAATGATAGAAGTCACTATTTTTTCTATATGCAGCACAGCAATTTAATATGCAAGCTAATTGATTGCCCGCAGTCAAGCTGAGTTCTATATTACACACAGAATCACTTCTGGTTGAAACAACCACCTGAGACATTTTTAAAAAGGCATATCAATGTTCTCCTCTTATTTCCTCATAATTCTAAAGGTACTCCTGTCAACAACCACTCTATGGTTCAAGCAGTACAATTAAAAATGTCCACTTACCTTTTTCCAATAAAATATCACCAGGGTGCTTAAAGGTTTCAAAGAGAGAAAACAATTTGCTATCATACAGAGTTTATCATCAACACTATCATTTTATAGAAACACATACAAAAAGACTCACAGAGAGAGCCCTGAAAATATTCCCAGTGCTGTCTGTTGTTGTTGTTGTTGTTGTTGTTATGTACCATCGAGTCGGACCCGACTCATAGCGACCCCTCCTTGGGTTTCCGAGGCAGTATCACTACGGAAGTAGATTGCCCCATCTTCCTTCCGAGGAGTGGCTGGTGGATTTGAACCGCCAGCCTTTTGGTTAGCAGTCAAGTGCCTTAGCCACTACGCTACCAGAGCTCCCCAGTGCTGTCCAGTGGATACCAACTCATAGTGATCCTGTAGGACAGAGCAGAACTTCCCCCATTGGGTTTCCAAGGCTGGAAATCTTTACAGAAGTACACTGTCTCATCTTTCCCCCCACTGAGTGTCTGGTGACTTTGACCTCCAACCTTTTGGTTAGCAGCCCAGGGTTTTAACTATAGGGCCACTAGAGCTCCTACTGAGAACACTATCCTCCCTGAAATATTCTGCTCTGTCACTCTGACAGTGAATTGGAAACTGGAGCTTTTATCTTCCTTACTGAAGATCAGGCTAAATACTCATAATATACCCATTTCCAATCGTTCTTATTTAAAAGTCATTTCTAACCTTGGACAGATTAGAAAAGATAGTCACCTCATGCAAACTGCCCAAGGTATCTTTAAAATAATTGCAGATCATGTCTATGTCTGATAAGAGCACTTCCACCCATCCACCCCACCCCCCAAAAAAAGAGAGGGAAAAAAACTTTCTCCACTGGTATCTGCCTAAACTGAAGCTGAACGTGAGAGAGCTTCCTTCCTCTGAAGGGCTGTGAGGTAGGAGAACTGGGTAAGTCTCAATACTCCTTTACATCATAAAATGACACCTCTTTGCAAGAGTATTTAAAAATTGCCCAATGCAGTATCAAATCTGGTTACATTCTGAAATGAATTTACCTTCCTTAAAATTTCTGGAATCACATTCTTACAGATTGCAATCCTCTTCCTATAGATGACGCCTGTTGACACATCTGGAAATAGAAAATTTTTTAACTCAAAAAAATTAATTAAGGAAATGTATTCTTGTCTTGATGTTAACAAAACTTTTAATATCAATCTCAATTCCCTTTACATAGAATTCCTAGAGAAAATGCTTAACTCAAAACTGTTAAGCACCACATGTTAAGTGACCACATGTCTCTGGTCACTCCAAATATACTTATCTGCAATCAAGGACTATTCTGAAGCCAATGATAAAAGAACCACAAACTATTCACTGCTCTGGACAATTAATGTCAGCACTCCAACAAAACACCCAAATACCATCAACCCTCAACTCAACTCCAAGAAAGAGGATGTTATTTTAAAAAAATGTGTATACACACACACACACGGAGAATCTGATTCTACCAGCTTTTGCCCCAAACATGTTTTCAAGTACATATTTCTGGCTATAAAATTTAAACCTATATTAGCCACACTCTTCTCTCTCATAGAATAGGCTCTCCTGGCTAGGACTGTTGGAAGGAAGTTTCTGGCATAGCACCAGGAACATAAAAGACACACAATAAATGTGAGTTAACAAAAAGGGAAACTGCGGCAGAAAAATTTTAACTTCAGAGTCCTGATGCTCTGTGAATTACGATGACTCAGCCACACTGCTGAGTGTCTCAAAGCTCTAGCTATAATAGCCCTAACCCTCTGGGTCAAATATCCTGAATGAGAAAAATGTCTCCTCTGCCCACTGGCATTTCCTTTGGTCATCTCCTGTAATGTTTGTGGCACACATACTTAAAAAGGATTAGCCACTCCCAGATACAAAGATGCCCCTCCTGTCAACAGTAAAAATTACAATTAATATTTTTATATCACTTTGAGACATACACGTGTTCATTCATTTGATCTTTACAACAACCTAAAACAGAATTATTATTTTCCCATTTGACAGAAGAATAAACTGAGACTCTAAGAAGTTAGGTATGCAGCTAGCTAACAAAAGCAGGTCTTGAAATTACTTTTGTCTGATACCATACCACAAGGTTCTTCACTGAATATGGATACGTTAGCAAATGTTTTTGAAAATACATGTTATATAAGTGTAGGAAATATCTTAATATGTAAAAGTTTTACATTCACCCAGTACAGAGAGGAGACCAGAGCCAAATAATGACCACTAGCATCTCATGTTTTCTCAGAAGGCTCAAGAACAAGTTACCTGTGCCTGGGAGATTCCAAAGATCTGCCCATTAATAATGTGCATTGTTGCCGCTAGCTGCCCTTCATATCTGAAATTGAACCCACTTATGTGGCTTCCAGCCAAATAAAAGACAGGCATATGAGCTGAACATTTATAGTAGATAGATACACTCTTTGGAGAGATAAATGATGGGAGAATAGAAGGGCAGTGCTTCCACAGGGAGACAGCTCTGGGGAAGAAGGAGTGCATGGAAAGGAAGGACACAGGGAAGGGATAACTATGGGGAGGAAGTGGGAAGAGAGCTGTTGCATTGTAGGAAACTGCAGTCAATGTCATGAGACAAAGTGTATGTGAACTGCTGTATGGAAAATGAATTTGCTCTGTAAACTTTCACCCAAAGCACAATAAAAATTTTAAAAAATAATAATAAAAATAGTAATGTGTGTTCCAGCACTGCCCAGTTTGCAAATACAAATATTGCCAGAGAAAATGATTCTGCTGCAGATGGAGATGGCAAAGGTCAATAGAGACTCCTATACTCTAATCCAGAGGTTGTTAAACTTTTTCTGCAAAGGGCTATATAAAATATTTCAGATTTTTCAGTTCATACATTCTCTGTCTCAGCCACTCAACTTTGCCACTGTCACGCAAAAGCAGACAGAGACAATATATAGATGGGTGTGCCTGTGAGCCAATAAAACTTTATTTACACAAACAGGTGACATGGGCCATAGTTTGCCAAAACTTGCTCTAGGTAACAGTGAACCACATTGCTGAGCACAGTTATGCTTCTATTAGTTATTCATCAACACCATTCTAAATGCTTTACAGTCACATCTCTTATATATATATTATTAATCACATGTATTTTGTCATCTATAAATGACTTATGAATATATCATACAGATATAGCCATGTGACCTTGGTAAAGTTATTTAACCTCTCTATATCTCAGTTCCTCATTCACGAAATACAAGTAATAATATCTATACCATATATTAAGGAGCTCTGTTTGCATAGTGCCTAAGGCATTTGACTGCTAACCAGCAGGTTGGCAGTTCAAACTCACTAGCCACTCCATGGAAGGAAGCCTGGGCAATTTACTTCCGTAAAGATTTACTGCCTCGGAAACCCAAAGTGGGTTGCTTATGAGTTAGAATCGACTCGATGGCAGTGAGTTTAGTTTTTTTTTGGTATACCATACATTTGAAGGGAGCTCTGGTGGCCTAGTGCCTAAGGCATTTGACTGCTAACCAGAAGGCTGGTGGTTCAAACCCACCTACCACTTCTTGGAAGGAAGGTTGGGCAATCTATTTCCATAGTGATACCGCCTCAGAAACCCAAGGAGGGGTCACTATGAGTCAGATCCAACTCGATGGCAGTGAGTTTGGTTTGGTTTTGTTTTGTTTTATACATTTGAAGATTAAATGAGTTAATAAAGGTAGGAGTATCTGGCTCATGTAAACACATGAAAAATGTTAGCTGTTATTATCAATTATTAATTTAGAACATGAGAAGAGCATATTAGGCAGGACTTCAACTGCTACAAATGCTGGGGGTTCTAAGTGTCCACCTTTGTATCATCATCTCAAGTATGAAAACAAACCTATTTAAAACATAACAGGTCACACACATATTTTAAAAAAGCATTAGCATCAATGAATGAGGGCATACCTGGAGAACTCACCTCTTTTTTCCTCCACAATTTTTACAGAGATGACATTTTTATCCATGGGGTTGGGATACTAAAATGAAAACACATGAAGAATTACCATTCATTTTTTACCAAAATGAATTATATTAGTTGTTGTTATTGTTATTTGCCGTCAAGTCACACCTGACTCATAGTGACCCCTCCCTGGGTTTCTGAGGTGGTATCACTACAGAAGTAGATTGCCCAACCTTCCTTCCGAGGAGTGACTGGTGGGTTTGAACTGCCAGCCTTCTGGTTAGCAGTCAAGTGCCTTAGGCACTATGCTATCAGAACTCCTGTATTAGTAGTAACCACAACTAACAGAACCAATATTTATTTTCCAAGCAACTTCTAAGTAAAGGTCAGTTTTCAATCAAGAGTCTTAATTTTACTCCTTAGCTATGACAGGTGAGATGTTATCATCTCTTAGATGTATATGAAATCCTACCTTCTTCAGATCCAGGCTTGCCCTAGTCAGGGAGGGAGCTGAGGTTAAGCTAATTAATTAATAACAGTACCATTAATACTAAACCAGACTAACATAAAGCCAGAGTACTATACTCCTTGTGCCAGGCACTGTGACAAATGCTTTACTTGCACCATCTTATATAAATCTAGCATCTACTCTGTTGAGACTGGCTTATGTAGTATCTTCATCTCCATTTTTCAGAAATGGAAACTAAATGAAAATCAGAGAGCTTAGTGTCACTTAGTTAGTTAATGGCGGAGCCCAGAACTTAAGCCAGGCCTGTCTGTTGGCAGAGTGAACTACTGGTCTATATCATTGCCGGTGGCTGGGTTAGTATCACGGGAGAGTAACGTAAGTATATGATGCAGGCACATTTAAAAAAAAACAGATGCCATCAAGTCAATTCTGACTCATGGCTGAGTAGAACTACTCCAGACAGTTTCTAAGGCTATAATCGTTACAGAAGCAGACTGCTACATCTTTCTCCTACAGAGTGACTGGTAGGAGAAACTGCTGCCCTTTCAGCTAGCAGCTGAGTGCTTAACCACTGTGCTACCAGAACTTCTTAAAGCAAGCATATAAACCAGACTGACTGCCATGGAGTTGATTCCAACACAAAGCAACCTCCACTGGTTTTTCAAGGCTATAAATCTTTATAGAAGCAGACTGCCTCATTTTTATTCTGCAGAGCGGCTGGTGCGTTCGAAACACCAACGTTCTGGTTAGCAGCCTAATGCCTTAACCACTATACCACCAGAGTGCCTTACCAAGCATATAGTAGGTGTTTAATAAATATTTAATTTGTTGATTAAATTTCCCTGAAAGACAAATTGTAACTAAGCTGGTAAGAGCTACTATTTCTGTCTTAGGTAATTTACATACATTATCTCAGTTTAATTCTTAAAGCTATTCCATGAGAGAATGTGTTGTTTTTTTCCCTTTTAGATATGAGAGAAATGAGGCCCAAACAAATTGAAATTTGGTCAAAATCACTCAGCCCAGGAGTGAGGAAACTGCAATTTACCCCCAGATGCTTTCTGTCTGCCTCCAAAGCCTCCCCACCTAACCTACCCCTCAAATTACCTCAAAGTTAATCTAACCCAACCTTTTCCACTTCTCAAATGTATAAAACAGAGATTTAGGGAGCAGAAGTGACTTGTTCAAAGTCATAGGGTAAGGTGGCTGCTGACTCTTTTGTGGTTGTTGGGCTCTTTTCCCCGCGGTGTAGTGCTTCATCATCTCATCAAATCTGAAAAGAGAATTAGAGGGACGTTTTCTTCTCCAGGAAATCGAAGGTGCTAAGAGAGAGGCACAGCAGCGGCCAGGCTGAGGGCTGCGAGAAGAGGGGTCCTCCACTTGCTGAACTGGAGCTTTACATTTTGTGAAACACATGGAATAGTACTGGGTTTGGGCGCTCCCCAGCCCTGCAGGACATGTGCACATGTGTGTATCTGCATGCACGTGCATATGATTTATTTTTCAAGAAAAAGGTTTTATTGTTTTCACACAGTCTTAAATTATCTGTGACCCAAAAAAGGACATTATATTAGAACATAAGCTCTAACAAAAAAAACAAAACCAGACCCACTGCTATCGAGTCAATTTTGACTCATAGTGACTCCCACTGGATTTCCAAGGTGGTAAATCTTTATGGAAGTAGATTGCTTCATCTTCCTTCTGCAGAGCAGCTGATGGGTTTGAAACACCAACTTCTGGTTAGCAGCAGTCAAAAGCTTTAGGCACTGTGCCACCAGAGCTCTTTATAAGCTCTGCAAGGGCAGGGATATCGGCTACTTTAGTCACTGCTGTATCCGGCACAGGGTAGGCACACAGTATGTATTTCATAAATATTTGCAAATGAAAGGAAAAAAAATGAATGAATTATTTAGAAGGTAAATCTGGCTAACCTCAGGAATGTTTTTAAAATAAAACTCAGTTTATTCTGAGACCAATTTGTGGGGATAGCCGTTAAGTCCTCGGCTGCCTCAAATGCCAAGTGTTGTCATTCACTTCCATTCTGGCAACTGCAGCCTTGATAACTAATCAAAAATGCGATTTTAAAAATGTATTCACTCACCCATTCACTGATTCACTGAATTTTGCTTTAGAAAGAAATCCTCAAAATTACAATGACTTTTCTCTTGAAGTTTAGCCCTACAAAGATACATACCCATTGCAGAGGGTCTAGCTTAGATATCTCTTCCTCAGCAGAGGGGCCTTTCACTTATCACAGAATGAGAGAGACTTGCAGCCTTCCACGGGTCCCCTGAATCATGTGTGTGTGTGTGTATGTGTGTGTGAATTAGAACATTTACACGAAGGTAACATGAGAGTATTTGCTTTACTGGCAAATGGTTGCCAGTAAATTTAGGTTGGTCCATTTTATATCCATAAATTCATCCTGTCTGAATATTATAAACACACTCTACACTGCAGAAAGATTAATCAGTCACCAAGGAGTTGATACTGACTCAGGGGGACCCCACGTGTGCAGAGTAGAACTGCACTCCATAGGGTTTTCAAACCTGTGATCTTTCAGGAGCAAATCACCGGGTCTTTCTTCCGCGGAACCTCTGGCTGGTCGAACCACCAACCTTTCAGTTAGCAGTTGAATCCATAACCTTTGGCACCACCCAGAGACTCCGCAGAAAAATTAAAGAATTGAATTGTGAAGGAAGTTGACAGTATAATCACCAGAGAGGCATAATGATCAAAGTTTCTAGTTCTGATTAGTTCATTAAATTATCAGTGTAATTCCTGAAAATGACAAACTCAAATATTTCACATTTTTACATAATTTTAATATCTGCCTATTGACTCAAAGGGTACTGATTTAAGTTACAGTGAAAATTCTCCACCTATTCTTTATTTAAGAGTGTTTGAGTACCTACTACATATGCCAGTCACGATCCCATGCACTGAGGATACAGTAATGAACCAAACAAAGTTCTAGCCTCTTAGAGCTTACGTTTTAGTTGAGGAAACAAACAACAGTAAATAAATATGTCAGGTGTGCTCAGTTGAAAAATAAAGCAGGCTAAGGGATAATGGGGAATTGTGGCAGGGAGGGCACTGTGAAACACAAGAGTCACATATTGTACAGTGCTTATAAAAAAAAAGGAAAAGGAAATTGTTATTTGCTAAACACAAGAAATCTGGAACTATTCACTCTAATAAAATCATTTGCAAGATTTTGATATACAACCACTTTTGGCACTAAACAGACATGAGCTCAAGTTTCCATACAAGAATGAAAAAAGAAATTAGTCTTAGGGGGTTTATTTACAATAGCTAAATACCATGACATGAAAGGCTTATTACTTTTACCTTTAAAAAAAAAAATTATAGACTTCTTATACTGAGGCTCCCCCTACCTGGCATTACTTGAAATGATCTGATGCCATCTTGTGGTAACATGCATATCATAATTTAATTCATGAAAATTTCTCTAAGTCTGATAATAAAGGGTTGAGAGAGGAAAGACCCTTTAGAAAGGGAAAGTCCACTTTGGAAAGCAGGAAGCAGGTGGCCAAGTTTTTCTTGACACCTCTTCAAACACAGTGTGGCTATGGAATTAATCAAGATAGATCAGGATCAAATGCATCAAATATGATTGAGCGCCTACTATGTTCAATCATTAAAGGTTACTATGTATATATATATCTCATGTGTTGCTCTTGTTAGCTGCAAATGTGTGTACCCAACTCCGGGTGATCCCATGCACAATGGAAAGAACACTGCCTGGTCCTGCACCATCCTTAGATTGGACCATTGTGACCCAAAGGGTTTTCTGAAGCAGGTCTCCAGGCCTAGTCTGTCTTAGTCTGGAAGCTCCACTGAAACCTCTTTGGCATCACAGCAACACACAAGCCTCCAATGACAGAAGGGTGATGGCCGCTCATGAAGTACACTGGCCGGGAATCAACCCTATCTCCCACATGAAAGGCAGAAACTCTACCACTGAACCACTAATGCCCAAATATCTCATTTGTTGTTGCTGTTAGGTGCCACTGAGTCAGCTCAAACTCACAGTGACCCTACATACAACAAAACCAAACACTGCCCAGCCCTGCACCATCTCCACAATCGCTGCTATGTTTGACCCCATTTAGTCCTCACAAAAATAAGTGAACCTGTTAAAAAGTATTAAGATAGAATCCTGGTATTAAAAACATAAAGCTTGCACACAGGCAAGGTAACATGGAAAGTTTCTAGTCCCCATGTCACACTAGGGACTCTCAGGGAAGCAAAGTGATCTGATGACCCAGATATCCAGCAATAATCCTGGCCTTCCTTAAACCCAGCTCAGTGTATCACGAACTTGAGTGTGCACAAGAACTACCACACAGGGCTGTGCATATATACTATGTATGCTATACTTTATGGGAGGTTATGAAGGATTTTTCAAGGTACATTTTGATTTTACTTTGCCTATAATTACGCTTTTTCCTTTTTTCACAAAACTGTGTCAAGTAATTCTTCTCCCTTCCCCAAAGGTATAAATCTATTGTAAATATCATTGTATAAGTTGTTGTTGTTGTTATGTGCCATCAAGTCAGACCCAACTCATACAGACCCCTCCT